TATATATATATATATATATATATATATATATATATATTGTATATATATATATATGTATATATAAACTGTCTTTGTTTATTTATTGTCAGTCTATACAAACAAAAATACACAATAAATGCTGCTGCTGCTGCTGTTGCTGCTGCTGCTGTTGCTGCTGCTGTTGCTGCTGCTGGTGCTGCTGGCGTTCAAATGTCTACAAGCGCGCACTGCAGCAGCGCAACGAACCGTCATGCTGCTGCTGCTGCTGCAGCAGCTGCTGCTGCTGCTGCTGCAGCTGCTGCTGCTGCCAGCGCTGCAGCTGCAGTTGCTGCTGCTTCTGGTGGCGCTGCTGCTGTGCAGCTAATACAAACTTTGCTGCAGCTGCTGCTGTTGCTGCTGCTGCTGCTGCTCTTATGCTGCCGCTAGCGCTGCCATTGTTCTTGCTGCTGCTGCTGCTGCTGCTGCTGTTGCTGCTGCTGCTGCTGCTGCTGCTGCTGCTGCTGCTCGATGGTGCTTCGAGTACATCTGCAGCAGCGGCAGTTCTGCTGCTGCTCTCTAGCAGCAAGCGCAGCAGCAGCAGCAGCAGCAGCAGGATTTACTCTGGTAATGTTGGTGAGAAGGAGGGTAGGATATCGTCAGCTAGACAAAGTGCTGCTGCTGCTGCTGCTGCTGCTGCTGCATCTGTCTCCTCTGCCCCCCCCCAGCTGTCTCCTTCCGGCAGCACAACAGATCGAGAAGAGAGAAGAGTTACTGTCCCTCTTGGCTTCCATCCTTTTGTCTTGTTTGCTGCTGCTGCTGCTGCTGCTGCTGCTGTTGGTGCTGCTGTTGGTGCTGCTGCTGCTGCTGTTGGTGCTGCTGCTGGTGCTGCTGTTGCTGCTGCTGTTGGTGTTGTTGCTGCTGAACCTGAACCTGCTGCAGCTGCTCCTCCTTCCCCCGCTCCTGCTCCCGCTCCTGCTGCTGCTGCTGCTGCTGCTGTTGCTGCTGCTGCTGCTGCTGTTCCTGCTGCTGCTGCTGCTACTGGGGGCTCATCGGGGGGCTGCCAGATGCCGTGTACAATCTGCGGGTAGCCCAGTGCTGCTTCTGCTTCGATTGCTGCTGCTGCTGCAGCAAGGAGACAGTCTCTGTTTGTGTTTTCATCTATCAGTGTTTTTGTCTCTCTATAACTAAGCCTTACTCTTTGTACACCCCAGCTGCTGCTGCTGCTGCTGCTGCTGCCACTTTGCTGCTGCTGCTGCTGCACTTGCTGCTGCTGCTGCTGCTGGGTGTGCAGCAGGCCCTGCTGTTTTTTTCTTTGTTCTCTTCTGAGCAGCAGCGGCTGCTTCTGCGGCAGCAACCTGCTGACGATACCATCGACAGACATAAGCCCTTCTAGGCCCTCTACATTAAAATCAGGAGACAGCAGCAAAGAAGGAGACAGCTGCAGCGCAGCAGTTCTGCTGCTGCAGCGCAGCACGTGCGGTGCCGACATCAGCACACCATCGTCTGTCTTTATACATACACAATTCACCCTAGAACTGCC